TAAAATGTGTATGTGTGTACATGGGTGGGGTCTTGGCTCCTTTAGCTGCTGAGACCCTTTAGAAGTACTTCAATAAAAGTTCCTTGAACCGCCTCTCCTGTCTGGTTCTCATTGGCATCTGCCCCAGGCTAAACCCAGTTTTGAAGCAAGTAAACTGATATAAGGATTGCCAGGAAGCCCAAGGATCTGAATGGCCCTCCACAGGGATTCCTCCTGACTGATTCCTACCTGGTACTCCTGGAGAGCCTCCTCCACAGGGATCACCGAGTGGCCCCTGTGCTCTTCGGATCGGTCGCAGACCAAGCAGATGAGGGTCTCGTGGTCCTTACAAAAGAGCTTGAGGGGCTCCTGGTGCTTCAGGCAGAAGCTCCCTCTGTCCTCGCCCCAAGGGCTTCCGCATCGCCTGGCCACTTCCAGCACCCGCGCCAGCTGCCTGTTGGGGAGGACGTTGTGGGGCCCGAAGGTCTGTCTGCACTGGGGACAGGAAGCCTCCAATTCCGACGTCCCCCAACTGCGGGTCAGGCAGCCCCGGCAGAAGTTGTGGCCGCACTCCGGGATGAGCACGGGGTCCTGGAAATAGTCCAGGCAGATGGAGCAGGTGGTTTCTTCCAGGAAATCCTGCAAAGACGCTGCGGTCGCTATCGCTGCCTCCTTCGCCGGGATAAGGGAAGAGAAAGTTAAGTTTTGCGCCTTTCCTTACGAATCAGGTGGCCACCTTTGGAAAACCGGGATTATTTATTATGGCTGTTGCGGTCAGCTTCGCTGGCTTCTTAAAGGAAAAACAGAGTATTTTGAAAAGAACCAATTGAGGAAAAGCAAATATTCACGGGACGGACCTCCGATCAATTATTATTGGCCCAATCAGCTGGTCAAAGGGAGGGAAAAAATTTTAAAAAACTGGGGAGAAGCAAACATGCATGGGACGGACCCCCAATCAGTTGGTCCCAGTGTGGGAAAGATCTATAAATTTGTATAAAGTGTATTAGAACTGTTGTATAAGAAATAACATATTGAGTAATCTAAGCTCTAACAAAGTTACTAATGGCTGACAGGCGCCTCGGGAGAGGGGAAGGGGAAAAAGCCGACAATTCATAATAGAAAGGAAAACGTTTAAATTCACAAGCAAACATGAGAACTAAATACTTTTAAATTATAAAAAGAAACAAGCAAATACCTGAACTTTCACTATGTAAACTTAATTATAAAGAAAAAGATTTAATCATCACTTGATTTAATCAGTATTTTTTTCCGGGTTAATAAGAATGTTAAAACATAAACAAGGAAAACCAATTAAGAAACTAATTTAGAAAATTATAAATGTTGCTAGAATGTTTCATATTTTAGAGCTTTGACTCTTGGAAATATAAGTAGTCCTTGATTTACAACAGTTCACTTAGTGACCGTTCAAAGTTACAATGGCACTGACAAAAGTGACTTAATCACTTTTCACACTGATGACCATTGCAGCATCCCCATGATCACGTGATTTACATTTGGATGCTTGATGGCTGACACTGATTGCAGTGCCCCAGGGTCATGTGATCCTCTTTTGTGACCTTCTGACAAGCAAAGTCAATGGGGAAGCCAGATTCACTTAACAATCGTGTTACTAATTTAACAACTGCAGTGGTTTGCTTAACAAATGTGGCAAGAAAGGTCGTAAAATGAGGCAAAATTCAATACATTTCTCAGTTAGCAACATAAATTTTGGGCTCAATTGTAATTGTAAGTTGAGGACTACCTACAAAAGTTCCTCCTCTTCAAGTAGCACTGATGTTTGTTTGTTTGTTTGTTTGTTTATTTCATTTTGCTGCTGAAATCTGGATCAGATTTTCCTTCCCACACCAGCATCCTATTAAAGAGGGAAAAAGTTTTTTAAAAACTGGGGAGAAGCAAACATTCCTTGGAGGCCCCCTCTGATCAATTATTGATCCATGTATCCTGCTAAAGGGAAAGATGCTGAAAAAACCTGGGGGGAAAGAAACATCCATGGGACGGATTCCCTGATTAATTATTATTGATCCAACCAGCTTGTTAAAGGGGAAAGTGCGTTTTAAAAACTGGGAAGAAGGAAACATTTATGGGACGGGATGGAGTAAAGTTGGCATGAAAGAGACTGGGAGAAACCCTTGATAAAAGCCCAAATCCAATGCTGCAATTGATAGGATGTCTCAGAGACAAAGGAGAATGTAGAAATTATAATCCTTTCTCTAAGATGAATATCTGGCAGAGGAAGATCTGCCTGGTCTGCCCACTTCCCAGCTAGCCAGTCAGGAAATGGATCAGGAAAAGCTCTAAAACTGGGCAAAACTCAACATGAGGAGGCAGCCTGGGTGACTCCAAGGAAGGGAGAAACAGAAGATTACAGTTGCAGAATATGGAATATGTAGAATGTGGGATGGGATCATTTACTGATGGAAATCTTCAAGTCATAGACCAGTGGTGGCGAACCTATGGCACAGGTGCCAGAGGCGGCACTCAGAGCCCTCTCTGTGGGCACGCACACCGTCTCCCCAGTCCTAGGCCTTCAGCTGGCTTTTATAAAACTTTTCGCTTTAGGCCTCTGCCACCGTGTGCAAAAAAAAAAAGATTCAATCAATCACTCAATTTCAATTTCTCGCGGGGAAAAAAAGATCTTGCAAAGTTGGAATTGATTGAACTTTTTAGTCCCACCCAGTCTGCCTTTACCACCATAGCCACGCCCACCCAATGGGCCATACCCACCCAATTGGCCACACCCACCCAATGGGCCACACCCACCCGGCACTCAATGATGCATAAGTGGGTTTTGGGTTGCAGTTTGGGCACTCGGTCTCTAAAAGGTTCGCCATCACTGTCATAGACCAATACAGTCCCTATTTATTTATTTAGTGTATGGCAGAGGTCCCCAACCTTTTGAGCACCAGAGACCGGTTCCGTGGAGAGAGGTTTTTCCGCGGACTGGAGGGAGCGTGGTTTTGTGTGCTGCCTGCATCTTGTGGATGGGGCTTGGCTTGTTTGTGTGGACCAGTTGCTGGCATGTCGTGGCCTGGTACCAGTCCACAGAACGGGGGTTGGGGACCCCTGGTGTATGGCATATCATGCATGAACTAGCAATAAATATTAGCATTTCGCCTACACATATGAATGTTAAAAAGATCTACAGTATATTCAGATACAATGTCTAGGCCAGGGGTAGGCAACCTCGGCTCTTTTATGACTCATGGACTTCAACTCCCAAAAGTCCATGAGTCATAAAAGAGCCGAGTTTGCCTACCCTTGGTCTAGGCCATCTAACCATTGAAGCGCAGCATTGTTTATATGAAAAAATATATCAGATACCGGACGTGTATATGCCCTCAGCTTACAGTCGGTCAGGATTGGATCTACAGGTTGACACAGGACCCCACAGTCACAATGGGGGAGGATATTATGTCCCTTTTATACAGTGAGTCTCAGCAGACGCCATGTGAGTGCAAATCCTATTCAGGATTGTCCATTGCTGGTGTGGTAGTTCAAAGCCTGGCACCTTTTTATGAGGCAACTCATATTGCCATTCTCCAAATAAATTACTTCAGTGAGGGAAAGTAGCAGAGTCCTATCCCGATGTAACAGCAATATATGTGACTCAAGGCTACCTCCTCCTTTCAATTGCCCTCAGGAGAAATTATAAGGTGGGTTTTATACCCACGTAGAAGAAGGGCAGGAGAGCGTCTCCAGAGAAGGAGGGCTCGGAGTATACATGGAGCAGGGCAATGGTCACCCGCCTCCCTTCACAGTTCAGAGAAACTCAGATCTTCTTGTTTTCCTCCTTCAGAACCAGAGGTGAATACTCAGGGGGTTCTGAGGTACAGTAACCCCCTTCCCAGTTCCCAAAGCACCAGATACCAGCCTCTCGGCCATATTCAACCTTCCTCCTCCTCCTCCTCACAGATCTTTTAGCCACATCAATACTCCATCCTTCCTCTCTTCTCGTGATGACATCCCAGACAGATCTCCCACTTGCAAAACCCTCCTGTCCCAAGATGTAGAAACGGGGATCGAATCACCCAGGGCTACCGGGAAAATCCAGGCCCTCTCATCCCACTTTCAGATTTCTTCAGTCTTCGGAGAGGATTAGCCAAGCGTTCACTGTGTCAGGATCCAGAGTTATGTTTTCTTTGGGGCGAAGAAAGGAAAAAAAGAAAGTAAAAGGCAGATGAGAGGATACTTGAAGTTGACAGTCTAGGGCAGTGGTTCTCAACCTGTGGGTCGTGACCCCTTTGGGGGTCGAACGACCCTTTCACAGGGGTCGCCTAAGACCATCGGAAAACACATATTTCCGATGGTCTTAGGAACCTGTCTCGCTTTCAACTCCCCCTAAAATTCTTCATTCAGGCAGGCTTCCAGAGTTCAGCCGGCAGGATGCAGGTAACCCCTCCCCCCTGTCCTGCTGCCTCCCACGGCATTGTGCCACTCCGCGTCCTGTGCCTCAAGCCTCCGTGGCACAGAACTGCTGGCGTGGTCCCCAATGGCTGCTGATGCTCTTCCCGCCGCCAGCGACCATGCTAGCCCTGGCAATTTTATGGTTGGGGGTCACCACAACATGAGGAACTGTATTAAAGGGTCGCGGCATTAGGAAGGTTGAGAACCACTGGTCTAGGGCAATATAGCCCAGCCTGGCATCTCTTTTGGTGTTTTGGGACTACAACTACCAGAACTTCAAGCAAGCATGGCCAGTTCTGAGAGTTGTAGTTTAAATAAGTCTGGATGCTATCAGGTCAGGAAAGAATATAGAGTTTGAAGGGACCTTGGAGGTCTTCTGGTCCAACTCCCCTGCTCAAGTAGGAAACCCTGTACCATTTCAGACAAATGGTTGTCCAATCTCTTCTTAAAAACCTCCAGTGTTAGAACAATCATGGCCAAATAAATCCAGTCAGGATTTTGCTGGCTTTAAAAAGGCTTTGTCGGACCTACCACAACTTACACCTCTAAATAGAAACAATCCTTGGTTCCATTTGTTGAGAAAGGTATAGTTTTATTAGAGATCAAGTGTATAGCAGTACTGCAAAGCCAGAACTGAGAATTGCACACCAAAATCCCCTAAGTTCAGCATTCCTTCCCTTAACAGTCTTTCATTGCCCAGCCCTGTAGTTCAGGCAAGATGTTTTCATAATGGTCGGTCCAAGTGTAGTTTGGTATGCGGCCCTCTCCTTCTTCCAGCCAGGTGATCTTGAGGCAGTCTCAAGGAGATACAGCCCTTACTTTCATCTCCCCAAACATTCCCCCCTTCATTCCCCCTCCCCACAGTTCATGGCAGTCTGTCACTACATAGCAGCGAAGCATACACAAACATAAAATCTTATGGCAGCTGACAGGCTTAGTTAGAATGGTTTGTTAATACAGATCAACGCCATCTACATCCTGGGTAAAAATCTGTGAAATAGACAAGGCAGTTGTATTAACAACAACCCTAATAAATATCACTTATTTAATGACAACATCCAGCACTAAGAGATCCAAGAATATGAACAGAAATGTGTGTGTGTGTATACACACATACACATATATTTTAATGTTGTAAGCTACCCAGAGTCACTGCACAGCAAGATAAGCAGCAAACAAATTAAATTTATTTAAATAAATAGGTTCTTCATAGTATTTTATTTATGTCTTTTAGCTTTGTATAGTTGCTAGAGACAGTCACTAAGCAAGGACTACCTGTAATTTGAGATCTGGGAGCCATGAATTCAGTCAACCAGTTTGCCACTGAGTGACTGCAGTATTTTGTCTAACCCAAGGGCTTTTCAATGGAAATTAAATATGATGCAGAAAAGCCAGCACTGATTTCATTACCATGCCTGGCATTATAGCAAAGGTCTTAGTCAAGAGCATATAGCCTCTGCAAAGATTAAGGCATCCATTTTGTCCCTTAAAAACTATCCCCAATGGGTGGGTATATGTGTTAAACAACAGAGGTATTACAGAACTACAACTGTTTTATCCCTGGTTATGAGTAGTCGATATCAAGCCCCTGTGGAGGAAACATAAAGGTCCTTCAGAAGGCTCAGAGTAGTTCACGTTTAACCGTTTTAGAAAATGGTGACATTTGTGTGTTTTTTTCCAAGGGCGGCTGGTATTTTGAGGCTTTCTCTTTCAGGTGAAATTTCTGGTGTTTCACTATGTGTGACCGGTGAGTGAAGCACTTTCCGCACTCCAGGCATTTGTAAGGCTTCTCTCCCGTGTGGACTCTCTTATGAGCCAAGACATTGGATCGGTCTGAAAAGCGTTTCCCACATTCGGAACACATGTAGGGCTTCTCTCCCGTGTGAACCCTTTTGTGTCTGGCGAGGGAGGAGCTGTCCGCAAAACATTTTCCACACTCCGAGCACACGTAAGGCTTCTCTCCCGTGTGGATGCGCTGATGTTTAACTAGGCCTGAGCGCTGGGCAAAAAACTTCCCACACTCCAAGCAGGTGTAAGGTTTCTCGGCTGTGTGGATGCGGCAATGCTTCACGAGAGACGAGGGTCGAGGAAAGCATTTGCCGCACTCCAGGCACTCGTAGGGTTGTTCTCCCGTGTGGACCATCCAGTGACTCACGAGGGTCGAGTGCTGGTCAAAACATTCCCCACACTCGGAGCATTTGAATGGGTTCATCCCTCTGTGAATCCTCTGGTGAGCCACCACGTGGGACCTGTCCGCAAAACACTTCCCACACTGGAGGCACTTGTAGGGTTTCTTGCCAGTGTGAGCTCTCTGGTGCCTCACAAAGGCCGGGTGGTCGGCAAAATGTTCCCCACACTGCAAACATTTGTGTTGTTTTTCTTGGAGGTGGACCTTCTGGTGGCTCAAAAGGCCCAACTCATGAGCAAAACACTTCCGGCATTCCAGACACACGTGGTGGTGGTGCCCATTGGTAACCTGGCCCTGATGGTGCTTAACAAGAGCAGAGGACCATGGGAAATGCTCCCTGCAGTCTAGGCACTCATAGGCCGCTTCTCCTGGGTGAATCCTCCAGTGGTCCATGAAAGTAGAAGATTGTTGAGCCTGTCCCCCACATTCCATGCATTCATAAGGTCTCTCTGCTGTGGGCATTCCCGGTGGCATTGCAGGGCCTGGCCAGCTAGTGAAAGAGTTCCCACAGGTCTCACACAGGAAGGACTCCTTTCCCACAAGGTTTTTCTGGTGCGCCTCATTGTAGTATTTGTCGTGCAGCGAAGAGCACAAACTGTTGTCCACAGAATCATCTGATGGAATAAAAGACAAATATGGATAGTCCTCAACTGACAACCACAACTGAGCAACAAAATTTCTGTTGCTAAGCGAGACAGCTAAGTGAGTTTTGCCCCATTTGTGACAGTTGTTAAGTGAATCACTGCAGTTGTTATGTTAGTAACATGGTTGTTAAGTGAATCTGGCTTCCCCATTGACTTTGCTCGTCAGAAGGTGGTAAAAGCTGATCACGTGACCCTCGGGACATTGCAACTGTTATAAATACATGCCAGTTGCCAAGCATCTGAATTTTGATTACATGACGATGGGGATGCTGTAATGGTCATAAGAGTGGAAAATGGTCATAGGTCGCTTTTTCTAGTGTTGCTGTCACTTTGACTGTCATTAAACAAATGGTTGTAAGTCAAGGACAACATGTACAATGGTCACTGCTAGGCTTAGAATAGCTTAGAAAAGCCATCAATAACATAAGAAAATATTATAGTCTAGCTCAGTGTTCTTGAAAGGCCTGTGGATTTCAACTCCCAGAATTCCCCAGCCAGTTTGAGAATTCTGGGAGTTGAAGTCCACACATCCTAAAGAGGCCAAGGTTGAAAAACACTGCCATAAACTCACATTGCTCTTGGTGGAATCTTTGCAAATATACACAGCAAAAAAATACCTCACTGCAAATAAAGTCTCATTCGATCATTTTCAAAGGCAAAATTAACTTCATCTTTGAACAGATGCTACTGAATCAGAGGGCAAATAGCTTTAGCCAAGCCTGTGTTGGTTTTGTCCATGTTGCATGACAAGATGTAAAAGCCTGCCAATGAGTGCAGCCGGAATACTTCAATATATATATTTTATATACTGCATTTAAGTCCTATCCATGTAAGCTGCCTAAGATTGCATTTTTGAGATGGAAGGTCATATGAACATATTTAAATCAACAACTAATAATTATGTCCCATGCTTCCATTTAAAAAACATTTTTAAAGTTTTTTTAAGTGGAAGCATGGGACATAATTATTACTGATTTAAATGTGTTCATATGACCTTCCATCTCAGAAAACACTTTTTAAAGTGTTTTTTCCCCTTTGTTGCAAAATAACTATTTGTGTCCTTAAAGTAAAAGGTCAAGGGATCTCCAACTCCACACACAAAAAAACCCGAGTGTCAAGGTTCGAACCCAACCAAGCAAACATTAAGAGACATTCCGATCTCTTAATGCAAAACTTTATTGAGTACATTATTTCGGCACGTATGAAAACAAAACCATCTCTGGCAAAAATCTCACCCAAGCCCTATATAGTGAAAGCATAGAATTCTCTCTCCTCCCTCTGGATCAGGTCACGATGCCCAATTAAATGCAGCGATATTGTTACGAGAAAGTATCTCTGGGTCTGGCCAAACACCTGGTAAATGTCCTTGGTTCCCATGGTCTGCTTCCTTAATCTTTGATGTCTGCATTCCAATCCGATTCCCTCCCCCCTGAGTTCATTGGCAAGCTGAGAAGCAATAACTGTTGCAGCAGGGGAAAAAGGTGCTTCGAAACTTGACACTCAGTTCACAAGTGACAAGTTGTATTTCAGAAATTTCTAAGAGCAGAATTTGTTGGAGAGAATATATTTATTATATTTTTATCCCTATAAGTAGCTCAAGGTGACCAATATACTTAATACTCCTTCCTCCACCTATTTTCCACAACAACAACCCCTGGGTAAGACTAAGAGAATAGTAACTAACCCAAGGTCTTCAATGAAATTTATCCATTATGGACATACTCTTATCTAGTGCTGCTGTTCCCAGTCTTCTTGGCCACAGATTATCTCAGATACAAGCCTGTCATCCTTCTGCAAGGACTAACCCTTATAGTAACATGGTTTATGCTTCTGTACTCCCAAAGAATTCTAGCTGTTCAGTTCCTGGAATTTTTTTATGGATTAGTGACTGCAGCAGAAATCACTTATTACTCTTACATTTATAGTGTTGTGGACTTGAACTTGTACCAGAAAGTCACAAGCTACTGTCGAAGTGCTGCCCTTGTGGCTATACTGTGGCCTCTGTCTGTGGACAAGTCCTAGTATCTGTTGTAGGTTGGTCCTTGTTCAGTTTGAATGTGGTGTCACTTACTTCTGTATCTGTTCCCTTTGCAATAGCTTGGTCTCTGCCTATGCCACAGAAAAGGTTTTTTCCCCCCACCATCACTCAAGCCTCCAGGTCAGTAAAATGAAGGTTCTAAGTTATAAAAATGGAACAATTATCCAACATGATCCTGCCTTAAAGAAGGTTCCCAGGTTGGAAGATATGGAATTGAAGATTCCATTAAATATAGAAGAGTGTCTCGCAGAGTAGCAGGAGCAAAAGATGAACATCAAAGAACTCTGGCAGGACTTCTTACAGCAGTGGTGGCGAACCTATGGCACGGGTGCCAGAGGCGGCACTCAGAGCCCTCTCTGTGGGCACGCGCGCCATTGCCCCAGTTCTAGGCCTTCAGCTGGGTTTTATAAAACCTTTTCGCTTTAGGCCTCCAGCGCCGTGTGCAAAAAAAAAAAAGTTCAATCAATCAATCAGTAAATTTCAACTTCTCGTGGGAAAAAAAGATCTTGCAAAGTTGGAATTGATTGATTGAACTTTTTAGTCCCACCCAGTCTGCCGTTACCACCGCAGCTACGCCCACACAATGGGCCACACCCACCCAATTGGACACACCCACCCGGCACCCGACGATGCATAAGTGGGTTTTGGGTTGCAGTTTAGGCACTCGGTCTCTAAAAGGTTCGCCATCACTGTCTTACAGTGTTACTCTTCCTGGCCTCTGCTGTGCTGGTCTGTATGGTGAGCCCTGTCAACATGTGGCTATTTCCAAGTCATCAATTATGCTCAAGGCATGTGGGAATGCTATATACTGATGCCTAAGGTAGGACTAGAACTTACAGACTCCTAGGTTCTAGCCCAGCATCTTAACCACTGGATTAAACAGGCCCAATTGTCTAATTACTAAACTTTTACCTGCATTGGTGTTAGATATCTCTGTATCGTCCACTTTGGCGGTTTCTGGCAGCCACAGCTCTTCCCCCCGTTCTATCTGAGAGATAAGGGCAGGCTTGAGGGCTAGAAAACCTGAAGGTGAGTAGATATGGAAGAATGTGATCAGCATAGTAATGGTCAGTTGTGAAGCCCAGGAGCAGGCGTGCCTGCCCAGCAGAGTTCAAAAAATGAAGATGGTGATGGCTAAAAAGCAGGTGGAGCTTCAATCCCGCCGTTGTGGCTGCCATCTTGACTTTTCCGACCACACCCTGAAGCCACTCCATGCAGAGCAAAACATGGCAATATGAAAACATACAACCTCAATCTAAATCGTAGCACAAATAGGAAAAAAGTTTGCCATAATTATAATCCTATCACTGGTTTCCTAGGAAGTCGCTGAAATGCATTTGAATTAGAAATGCAACAGGCCTTGCAACCAAACAATAATATTTGAACTGAAGGAGGAGACTGATAAAATAGTAAGGATGCTCCACCTTTATCTGATCCTTCCTTCCTTCCCTGGGTCCTTTTCAGACTTGTCTCTCTCTCAAACTGTAATAAAACTTTACAGGTAAGTCCTCAACCTATGACCACAGTTGGGACTGGAATTTCAGTCATAAGTTGTGGTAAGTCGAGGCACCCCTATGCCCGAATGCAATTTTTCTATCTTTTTTTTTTTTACAGAAGTTGTAAGTGAATCATGCAGTTGTTAAGTGACTCCATCCTCCCAAATGGACATTCTTTTGACGGAAACTGGGAAAAAAACACCAAAAGCCAAAAGCAGAAACATTACAAATCATGGTCACATGTCTACAGGACATAACAAACTGTCCTAAATGCAAAGCTGGTTGCCAAATGTCCTAAATGTGGTCATGTAAAACATTGATGTTTTTCCCATGAACATGAAGAACTCTGCATTAAGTGGTACCATTTGTACAGTAAAAGTTAAATAACCAAAATCAAGGACCAAAGTGAGTTTTTGGAAAATAAGTCTTAAGAGCAACTTTCTGAAATATAGAGTAGAGTAGAGTGGCAGAGTCGAAAGGGACCCTGGAGGTCTTCTAGTCCAACTTCCTGCTTAGGCAGGAAGCCCTATACCATTTCAGGCAAATGGTTGTCCAATCTCTTCTTAAAAATTTCCAGTGTTGAAGCAGTCACAACTTCTGGAGGCAAATTGTTCCACTGATTAATTGTTCTAACTGTCAGGAAATTTCTTCTTAGTTCTAAGTTGCTTCTCTCCTTGATTAATGTATAATCAAGGAAAGGTGGTCACTGTAAATAAAACAGTTCAAACTTTTTTTGCAACCTTCTAGAAGCTTAGTGAAGAATTCCATTGTGGTTGTTTTCATTTCCTATGGGACAGACAGCATTCTACAATCCCACTATTTCTGTGTCTAATTGGCCATACATATTGGCTTTTCATCTAG